ATGCCATTATCGCTGTGCCGAGTGGCTTGTCAGCAACCGCGGGAGGCAGCTACTTCCTCAGCTCCGGGGAGCTGGCGCAGATCCCCACAGACCATCAAGTCTAGGTAGTTACTGGGCGGAGAAACCATCCCCAGGGCTGTCTGGGGCAGCCATCGTCAGGGCACCCCGGATCCTCGGTGTCCCGGGCACCTTGAGTTGCTACAGCTACAAAGACAGTTCTCAGCTCCACAGGATTGTCCGGAGATTACCCAAGCCCTGTCTGCTCTGCCCAGGACCCCAGGAGCAGGGCGGCATCCCCCCCATTTCTCAGGTCAGGGAACTGAGGCAGGGGTCAAAACCGAAGACAGAGAGTGGCCATCGATTTCTGGGATGCGTCACTTTTCAGTCGCGCTGACGGAGCCGAAAGCTGGGCTCCAGAATCACCAGCCCCTTTTACTGAGGTTGGCTAACGTGGCTCACCCACGGCTGTCAGACCCACGCGCTGGAGCCTCCAATGCCACGGTGCTTGGTCCTGCGCTAACCCTCCCAGGCCACGCCGATGCTGGTCCCCAGATAACGCTGTGGCACTGGCCCCTCCAGGACACCACCCTGACCCCCAATCTGGTCACGAGTCCCGGCTGCTCACCCACGTGGATCTCCAGGGCATCCGTCCAGTGCTCTCCGTGGCCATTGGCCGCACAGCACAGGTACGTGCCAGCGTCACCGAGCTTCGCCGAGCTGATCTGAAGAGATTGATGAGAACCTCAAATCGTTTCCCCCGGAGCCTGTGTCCCCACTTTGCAGCTGCCACGTTTTCTGAGTCCCAGGCTAACACCTCGCACGAAGCCCGTCCTGCCTCGCTAAGCCCCAGGATCGTGGCCACATTCCGCAGTGGGGCACACGGGCACCAGAACTAGGCGTGTGGGGGTGCTGCAGCACGTCCACGTTTTACCCAGAGCTCGGATCCCGGCCCACGCCCAGGGCCCAGCTCCCGGCCCCACACGCAGGGCCCAGCTCCTGGCCCCACACGCAAGGTCCCAGCTCCCAGCCCCACGCCCAGGGCCCAGCTCCCGGCCCCACACGCAGGGCCCAGCTCCCAGCCCCACACACCACGCCCAGGGCTCTGTTTTGCTACATGCTGTATCCCAGCTGCCAGCCCATGCCCAGGGTCCCACCCACACCCCTAGCTGTGGCGTCGGTCTTGGCCCCATCGCCCTTTCAGCATCCCCCCTCCCAGAACCAAAGCCTCTTCCTAGCCCGAGCTCTAAGGGTGGGGGCACAGACAGGGCGGGGCAGGTGAAGTGCTCCCTGCTAGGGGACTGGTGCCCGTCTGTGAGCGCTTGTGACGGGCGGTTTCCTGGTCAGACCAGGACAACGAGGTGCATGGAGAGCCCGATTTGAACCTTTGTCATGGACAGAGAATACACAGGAGCCCTCCCAGAAGACTGATCACTTCTGCTTGGCTGTCCAGAGCGCCGGGTTAGACAAGGGTTAAAGAAGAAATGGGGGGGGGGGGCCAAGGCGGGGTCCTTGCCCCACGCGTGCCCCAAAGGGGTTAATGGAGGCTAAGAAAGGGCCAATTAACCGGGCAGGGGACTAAGGTGGTTTAAGTAATCCCGGGGCTGAGCAACAGGGAGCCCAGCTGGGAGGAATGAGCTGGGTGGCGCTCAGAAAGGCAGGATGCTAGTCATTTCCTGGAAGGAGGGAGGGGTGGCTGGGAGCTGCAGAGCCAAAGTAGCCCACAGGCAGGAGGAAACTTTTGGGCTGGCAATAGCGGGGACAGAAGGTTAGGAAGAGCTTGGGAAAGGAGCCGTCAGGACCAGAAAGGAACAGGCACAAGAGGCTGGTGAGAGGGTCCCTGTGCTGGAAGCTGGTGCAGAAGGCGGGCCTGGGGGAAGTGACGGGCTGGGCAGTGAATGGGCAGACGGCCTGAGCCCATTCATAAAAAGAGACTTTCCCACCACAGAAGGGGAAGACACGTGACATGCAAGAAGATGATATCACTTCTCGAAAGGGCAAACCCACAAGCTGCGGGCCAGGAGAAGGCAGGGCACGGGGCAAGAAGCACGGGGCATTGGACCTGAGATCAGCGACGCTGCAGAGCGAGCAGTAGGAGGCGCACTAGCAGCGAGCAGCTGACCCTGTGACCTGCCCCCAGGGCTGCCCCGCTATGCTCAGATGCTCCAGCCACAGACGCAAGAGCATGACAATGTGTCCCATTCCACGTGACCGTCTCTGGGCAAGCCGTGCTCAGCGTCGCCACCTCCATGTCTGGCCAGGTCCTTCGTTCATTCCTAGGACTGCTGCCCAGATGGAGACTATCTCATTGCCTCTGTAAACTCCATGGGACGCCCACACCTTGAATAGTGTGTACAGGTGTGGTCCCCTCATCTCAAAAAAGCTATATTGGCTTTGGAAAAGGTTCAGAAAAGGGCAACAGAAATGATTTGGGGTTTGGAACAGGTCCCATATGAAGAGAGGCTAAAGAGACTGGGACTTTTCAGATTAGAAAAGAGGAGACGAAGGGAGAGATGTGACGGGGTGAAGCAACCCCGCACTGATCAAAGGCACAGGGAGTCCCGGGAGGAGGGGCGACCCGGCGGAGACAGCTGCCGCGGGACAGCTGGGGAGGGTGTTTGGACCCATTCGGGGGATCACCCGGGGCCAAAGGAGGCGCTGGCACAGAGGACGCTGAACGCAGCAGCCGGGTAGGTGCCGGTTGATGATGTCACCCACCGGCACGGCAGGGTGTCATAAAATGGCGCCAGCAGGAAGGGGAAAGGGGGGAAGCCGGTGGGGGAAGAGGGAGCGATAACGCGCCGGGGAGAGCGCAACTTCCCCCTTTTTGCTCCCAAGGGCGGCTTGTGCCCTCGGCAAGGAACCGAGCCAGAGATGCAGAGGTAGGAAGTGGCCCAGGGTGGGGTCGTGGAGTCCACAGGCGGACGCGTTTATGGGCAACTCCCCCGTCCGCTAGATCAGGGGTAAACCATCCCTGCCTTAGGGCCCTGGGCCGGGACCCGGGAGAGTGGGCAGGCCCGGGTCCCCCTACCCCACTGTCCGCGGCCAAGTGCCAACGGCGGAGAAAAGTTATACGCTAGTGACGCATAATTGCAAGGGGTGGACATTGCCCTGTCAGTAAAAATGGGTGATAACGGTGACGGGAAAACATTAAAAGGGAGTAACCAGTAAGGACTCTGGACTGGCCTCTTTAGACATGGTGGAGAATGTGGGCAGGAGCCCAGCCCAGCGAGAAGGGATAGAAGGAGAACAACAAGATTAATTGATATGAATATGATTTTGCCCAAGGGAAAGTAGAGATGGAGGTAGCGAAACTCCTCGAATGGTTGATGAACAACCAGTGGCAACGGCAGCAACAGATTGCCGCCCAATTTCAGGAGCAGCAGCAGCAGCTGATCCAAGAAATGCGGGAAACCGCTCCCGGAATGGAGGAGCCCGGAGTGGAGGAGACAGCCTATTTGGGAAGGAAGAAGGACTGAATGTCAGCAGGCAGTTACCAAGCCAGTTGTCTAAATTGGGACCCCAAGATGACCCGGAAGCCTTTCTGGTCACATTTGAAAGGGTGGCCACAGCGGCCAAACGGCCACAAGAACACTGGGCTGCCCTGTTAGCCCCGTACTTGTCGGGACCAGCACAACTCGCCTACCGGGGCGTGTGAGCCAGGGACGCGCTCTGTTGTTATAAAGTGAAGGAGGCAATCCTCACCCAACTCGGAGCAGGTGAAAGAGGCGGGGACGAGGTGGTTGGAGCCAGAAAATAAATCAGCACATCAGGTGGAGGAAATGGTCATTTTAGAGGAGGATACTCCCCCCTGAAGGCCAAAGGTGGGTCCACTACCTTAGATGAAGCTGTCACCTTGATGGAGCACTTCGTTGCAGCAGCAGGGGCCGAGGGTAGGGGGAGGATGCCGAACGTAACAGTAAGCCACAAAACCTCCCCACCCAGTCGGGGAAAAGGCACCCGCGCTGCCCTTGGAGCCAACATAAGACCATCGCAAGTGCTGGAGAAGAGCTGGGAATAGAGGTCTATAAAATCAAGACTGGTATGGAAAAAGTGATTAAGGAAAATTACTTATTCCCACAGTATAAGAACTAGGGGTCACCAAATGAAATTAATAGGCAGCAGGTTTAAAATAAACAAAAGGAAGTTTTTCTTCACTCAGTGCACAATCAACCTGTGGAACTCCTTGCCAGAAGATGCTGCCTTGCCAGAGGATATGGTGAAAGCTAGGACTTGAACAGGGTTCAAAAAAGAGCTAGATAGATTCATGGAGGTTAGGTCCATCAATTGCTATTGGTCAGCATGGGTAGGAATGGTGTCCCTAGCCTCAGTTTGTCTGGAAATGGGTGACAGGGGAGGGATCACATGAAGATTATCTGTTGTGTTCCGTCCCTCTAGGGCACCTGGCATTGGCCACTGTCGGCAGACAGGACACTGGGCTAGATGGACCTTTGGTCTGACCCAGTCTGGCCATTCTTACGTTCTGCAAAGTCTCCGCCACCCAAGGGACAGAGCAACCATCCAACCCCAGCAACCCAAATAGTGCAAAGAGCTTGCACACTGCATTGAAGGGAAATGTGCCTCAATCCAAGGCAGCTCATCTAAAGGCCTGGAAGCTGAGGGACTCCCAGCTACAACATCCCGCAGGGCTCACCGGGGGCTCTGGTAACCACGGTGATGGCACACTGCTATATCAGTCACTCACAGGTCTTTCATGCCTATTCCCTGCCAGCAGCAGATGACATTCCAAGCCTCACACCCGCTTTCCTGTGACGGACAGGGATGGGGGCAGCTCTCTCATGCTCACAGCTCAGCCATAGACCCTCTCCTCCCCTCCTTGCACCGCCACCCGGAGGCCAGGCGTACGAACCCTCTAAAGACAACCGTACCAAGAGTTTCTTCTTCTGATGCTTCATGGGGATCCCATTGTGGTACCACTGGTAGTGTGGGGCTGGCACCCCCAGTGCGGCACACTGCAGCAGGAGCGGCTTGCCCACCTTCACCTCTGGCGCGGTGGGGTTCAGGACTATGACTGGTTCTCCTTGCCATGGCACAGGGAGCAGGCCTGGGGAGTAACGTTAAACCTCAGTTAGAGCAGTTCTTTGCTACCTCGTCAGGGAAGAGGACCTGGGGCTCCCCAGAGCCGGAGGCTGTGCTAGAACCCCAGCGGTATAATGGCCCCCGGGTGTTCCACGTCCCCTCTGAGGCAAGGCCTCTCAAATGCTCCAGTTAGGGCATGTCTGGAGCGATGCCTCCTGCCCTACCCCAGAGCAACCCCTGGCGTGGTCTGCAGCACACACCTTCCATCGAGAGGGCCACGCCATGTGCCTCAGTAGTGCCCGCAGCCCAGACTCATGCTCACCCCCTACTCAGCATTTAAAGCAGCCGTGCCATAGAGTCATAGACTCCAGGACAGATGGGACAACTGTGGTGCCGTAGCCTGACCTGCTGTGGAGCTGGGGCCAGAAACCTGGCCCACAATAGGCCCCAGAGCAGAGCTTTTCGAAAAACATTCAGTCTTGGTTGAAAACCTGTCCCTGATGGAAAATCCACCATGAGCCTTGACAAATTGTTCCAGTGGGTAATTACCCTCACTGTTAAAAATCCACTCAGACTCTCAATTCATCACAATTAGCACCCGTGATTAACGGAAAACAAAATGAACGGGTCCATTTGTAAAGGGTTAATGGCATGGAGCAGAGGAAGGGGGGAAGGGAAGCATCCGTGGCGGGAGGGCTGAAGCCTCAGCCAGCTGCTCTTGGGGAGGCAGAAGCCAGGAACACTGTGCCCCAAAGGGGCAGGAGCTTGGGGGGAGGGGGTCAGATGCTCAGTGAGGGGGTGGGAGCCTGGAGCGGGTCACAAAGTACGCCACCATCTTTTTTTAAGTCTAACTTCTCCACACTCAAGGTTTGAGAAACACTACCACGGAGAGCAGGGGCCTGGTGAGCGCAGCTTCCCCGTGCCAGCCTCCTCCTCTGCCGCACGCAGAGTCCCTGAGGTAAAATCCATTCCTTCTTGCAAACAAGGGTTCCCTCAGTGGAAAGGAGTTATGTCAGAATATCCTAATAATAATCCCTCGCCGCTGGAACCTCAGCTTTCATGAAAGAGCTCGCACTCCCCTTCGTGTATAAGCTGAACTGAAATGCTATTTCTTTTATTTTTACACAGTAAATATTTGTAATAAAATCAAGCAAGCACCGTACAATGACTTGGTTGTCACTGAAATCAATATTAGAAAATACCAAACACCTCCAGACTGTTGTTTAACAGTAGGATTACAACTGATTAATCACAATGGTTTAAATCTCATCATTCATTTTTTTAATCGCTTGACGGCCCTAACATTTACCCCTAATTTCTAGTCTGAATTTGTCTAGCTCAGTGTTTCTCAATCTTTTTTTATGAAGTACCCCTTTAAAAGAAATTATAAGTACACCAGCACCTACAGACACACACATTTTTTTCTACCATTGCAACACATTTGTTTAAACAACTTAATCATAGCTGGGCAGGAGATGACATTTTTGGGTGTAAAAAGTACAAAAATAATAAAGCGCTGTAAAACTTGAAACAAAAATTCAGTTTTCTCCAAATTTCAGTTGTGTTGACGTATCCCCCAGACTTGTCTCGAGGGGACTCGTACCACTGGTCTGGCCATTGGATGGAGCTGGACCTTTCTTGGCTACTCCAAAGAGCCCATGAGTAACTATTTGCTCCCTGTGTAGATTCTGAGACAGTCACTGTCTCTTCGTGGAGCTGGCTGGATGGCGCTCTGACAGTTTGACCCGTGTGGTGTTTTCTAAAAACGTACTCATTCTCAGGGCTCTTTTCTGAACTCTCTCCAATGAATCAACATCCCTCTTGAAGTGCGAGACAGCAGCTGCGTCAGTGCCAAACCCAGAGGAAAAATAACCTCTCTGCTCCAACTTGAGAGTCCCCCATTTATGCAGCCCAGGAGCACATTTCAGAGTGACCCCTACTCAGGACCGAGCCCCCCATGCTGCCAAGTGAGGCCTGAAGTCTTTGCTCCGAGAAGTATACACTGACCTTTAGCCTACATTGCATGGTATTGCTTTACACCCAGTTTACAAAGCAATCCAGGCCACTCTAAACCACTGACCTTCATTATTTACCACTCCCTCAATTTTTGTGTCATCTGCAAACTTTATCATTGATGCTTTTATGTATGTTCTTCCCGGTCATTGATAAAAACGTTAGACAGCACAGGGGATCGCTGCGACAGGACCCGGCTCAAAACATCCCTTCAAGGACAATTCCCCATTTACAGTAACATTTTGAGACCTCCCAGCTGAACAGTTTTTAACCCATTTAATGTATGCTGTGTTAATTTAATAGTCTAGTTTTTTAAGCACAGTATCAGGCAGTACCAAGCCAAATGCCTTTCGGAAGTCTGTTATCTCAACATTATTCTCTTTAACAACCAAACCTTCAATCTCATCAAAAAAGACATCAAGTTAATTTGACAGGTGTTTCTGGAAAACAGACCATGTTGATTGGCATTAACTACATCCTCCTCCCTTAGTTCATAGTAGAAGTTCCCGCTCATGGATGGACACACACACACACACACAGATGCACAAGCTCTCTAAAATAAACAGTAGATCAGAGATTCCCAAACTTTTTTATATGGCAGACTGGCAAACCTATTCACAAACTTTTGGTGGACTGGCAACATTATATTTGCGTATTCATTATGCAAATATATATGCAAATAAAATGTTACCAGTCTGCCAAAATAGGTACCCTAGCCCCAGCAGCTGCTGCGAATAGCCGGCTTCAACTCTGGCAGCCGCCAGCCACACACACGGGTATAACCCAGCCCCATGGGCGTGACCTGACAGTGTGCTGTGGCCTGGCAGCCAATGGTTTGCGGCCCAACACTGGTCCGCAGACCGGTGCTTGGGAACCACCGTAGTAGATTAATCGCGTCCCATATCAGTCATTCCATTAGCAAAGTCACGCTGACGTGCCTGCAATTACCCAGACCGTCCTGTTTCCCCATTATGAACACTGGCTCAGCATTTGCTCGCTTCCGGTCTGCAGGAATTTCCCCCGGCCAAGGGAGGTCATCAGGAATGGTCTGGCGCACTCCACAGCTCACTTTGGGATACACGTTCTCTGGAGGCGCTAATTGTAAAATGTCTAACCTCTGCAGCCGCTGGCTGACTTTCGCCGGAGGTATTAGAGGAATGGAAAGGGTGGTCTCATCCCCACACGATGAGACCACACCACCTGCTTTTACCCCCAAATACAGTAGTGTTTTCTGCACACTTCTGGCACTTCAGTTTTATTAGTGATGATTCCAAAATTTCCTTCTAGCGCTAGGCCAATAGCAATAGTAGGATTCCTTTTATTCAAAATATATTTCGTTTTTACTTTTACTTTTATTTTTACAACTCTGCTGGCCGTGGATTTCTTTTAATCCTCTTGCTTCCTTATTGGTTTTCTACATTTCCTAACTACTAATTTATATTCATTATTATCAATTTCCTCTTTCTTCCATTTGTTATATATCAACTTATTTTTTACAGCCTGCCTTCACTTCCCCTCTAAACCAGGTTGTTTTCTTTAACCAATTTGGCCTTCTTCCTCACTTGTGGGATTATGGCTTTTTGGGGATTTAGTATGGTTTTCCCATTATCACTCACTTTTTTCTGATTAAATTATTTTTTCCTGCTCCTTTGGCTCTTAATTTGTTTTCATCTTGGAGAAATTGACCCAAGCACAAAGTAAGTATATTATTTATGGTCCCTCTAATTTTTTTCACCCATGTGTGGATTAAATTTTATTTAATGCACTGAGGCATGTGCATATCTGTACCACCTGCTGCCAGCTGTGGGCATTCTGCTAATCAGCTGGGTGGCCACCCAAGCATTCAGCTTATGGGAACACTGTATATCATTGGTCAGGACTTTCATCTAGTTGCCCATTATGAATGTGATCAAGACATGAGCACTTATACATAAGCAAACATTCATTTTTAGATCTGTGATCATCTTCTTTTTCTTTATAGGACCTTGTCATAGCAGAGAATTCCCCCATGTCGGCTGCACACTTCTGGAGTTAGGGAACTGTCCTCTATTACCTTTGGAAATTCCAAGGATGATTAGAACTGGCAGTATGCGACCTCCAGCATATGCCACTCAGATTGAATGCTCCGTGGTCACACAGCTGTTTTTCCTACACGCTGAAGATGGGTGCATAAGGAGCTTTCCCTGGTGTGATGGGAAGGCCTGACAGACACTAACTAATAAGCCATTTGTGCTTTATCTGCTAATTCGGGTTGTTCATTTTGCTCCCTCTCCCTTAGCTTCAGGGATTTTCTATTATCCAAGTCCCTTGGCTGAATATGCACCCACAGTCCAGCGGAACGCTGGAGTGAGTGTTCTAAACAGGAGACAGGAGGATCCAGAGCCACCCCCTCGGGGGACGAGGACAGGTCTCTAAATGGTTTGGGAGCACAGACCCAGTTGACAGGATCCCATTGCTGCAGCCTGCTCTCCCTGGGCTGGCCTAGCATGCTGCCCGCCCGCGGGAGGGTGTCTGTGTTCTCCGGGAGGGTGGCTCTCACGAGAGGGAAGCGGGCTGTGTGCAGGGGGAAGAAAGGGCTTGTACCTTTGCCAACATGCTGGTGGACCTCTACTCTCACCCAGTTTGAGAAGGCGACGTTTTTGTGCAGGTCGTTGATTCGGCAGATGTAGAGGCGGGTTTCCCTTGCCGTGATGAGCAAATCTGGCTCCGTGGCCCCAGCAATCGGGCAGCAAGCAGCCTGAAAGGACAAGACAGCCCCTGGGCATCCTGTCTTTTCCCCAGGCGTGTGGAGAGAGCCACGAGAGGAGAGAGGTGGCAGAACCTCCCTGTGTCAAGCCCTGTCAGCCAGACTGATGGATAACGCAGAGCCGGGGCGGGGCGAGGCTTTCATACGACAGCGCCCAGCAGCCGCATGGCGTTGATGCATGACAGGTCTGGGGGAGCGAACGCGTCCCCCTCCGCCCCATTCTCTTTGGTTTTGGTTCCCTAGCCACCTGGTTTCAAACCTGGCCAGCTCCAGGACAGACCCAGCTCTATTGCACTGGGGCTGAAGTGGCCCCGTCGTGGGGACGGGGTGGATCAGAAGGAGCCAGGAAGCCAGAGCAAGGAGTCGGGAAAAGCCAGACGGGGAAATGGAGCTGGGATTCTCAGGCGGCGTGACGGCCTTCTGCTGGCTGCGTGTCAGCCCTGCCCCAGTGGCAGGATTCAGCCTCGCCAGGATGCCTGAGCCAGGGTGCCCTTTCCTGCCCCAAGATGAGCCTGCGGGCCGAGCAGGGGCCACACAGCCCGGCGGCCGGAGTTGGGCATGCACGCACGGGGGAAAGGCGTCTTGGTGGAGGGCTCCGCAGGCAGCCCCAGCCCGAGGGGGTGCCGGGTCGCTGTTCCCCCTTGGCACTGGGCCCTGCTCTGCTTTCTCAGCACCTGGGGAGCTGCTGTCTGGCCCTGGTGTCACCTGAGGCCTGTGCGGCCGCGGGGCCAGGCTCTGCGGCAGGGGCAGCGGCCTGGGGGCTGTGCCCAGGGCAGCACTGGATCCGGATGCCGGGCAATGGAGGGTCGGGCCCTGAGAGCAGACTCCTGGTGTCCCGTTGCATGGCCAATCTGCACGGTCCCTTGGCGTTCCAGGGACCCTCCTGCCTCTCCTGGCTGGGCTCTGGCTCTATCACTGTTCCCTGGCTCCTCCTCCTCCCACCGGGACTTCACTGGCCCTGCCAGGGCCCTTCCAGCTCTGCTGCCTCCCTTCCTCTCCCTGCTTCCTTGTTTGACCACAACGGCTGTGCCAGGGCATTTCTCCCTCCCCAGACGGGAGAGCTCTCTTCTCCCAGGGCCTGCTGGCCGTCTGGTCCCTCAGTGCCCCGCGTTCCGCTTCAGCCCCTCTCTCTGTCACTCCCCACCAGCCCCCCTTGCCCTCCCTCGCCTCCTGCAACCGACTGGCCTCCCCACCATGGGCGCAGGTCCCCACTCCTCCCCGCCCCCGGCCTTCCCTCTGGGCCTGCACCTCTGGCTCAGCCGAGCCGCTGTGGAGAAACGCCAGGGGCTGGGAATTCCCCCTCCTGGCAAATCCCCGCATCTCCCTTCAGCAAACAAACCTATGCCTCACTGAACTGCTCCCGCGCCTCCAGCCCCCAGCGAGGCTGCTCCCCCCTTCTGCTCCCCGCCCGCCCCCTGCCCCTCTGTTCTCTACCAGCTGCATCACAGAGCACGACCGTGCCCCTCGACGGCCCTGCCAGGCACTGCTCCTGCCATTGTCCCGCAGCCCCTCGTCCGGCCCCTGCCCCCAGCCCTCCCAGCTCCTGGCCACGTGGCCGCGGCAGCATCGCACTGAGGAAGCTGAGGGGGGTAACCAATGCACGTGGCACAGCGAGGGGAAGGCGGGGGGGGGGAGGGAAGACGGCCTCTGTCCTGCAAGCCGCGCCGGCCTTACCTGGTGCTGGTAGAACCACTGGTACCGTGGGGTGGTGCAGGCCGCGGCCCGGCACCGCAGCGTGAGGGAGTAACCAGCAGGGACGGAGGCGGAGTCCGGCTGCTCCGTGATCACAACAGCTAGAGAGAAGCAGACGCAGGGGTAACAACAGCCTCTGGGGCAGAGAGAGGAGCCACAAAGAGCCCTGAAATGTGCAGCCTGCTTTCCCGGGAGTTGGATGGCTGGATGCTAGAGCTAGACGGAGCCCTGGCCCAGCGTGGGTGCACGGGATGGGAGCGAAGGCTGGTGCCCGGAGCTCTCCCTCATCTCAGGTCCCATGCAGTCCTCGAGACTCCCTGGACGGCTGGGTGAGAAGCCCCCTCAGTGGGGACAGGCCGAGGCCCTAGCTCATCCCTCTCAGCCGGCCGGCACATGACGCTGCATCATCCCCAGGACGCTCCTGCCACATGCTGGGCCCATCTGCTGTGGCTGTGCTCCTCGCCTGGAGAACTGGGCTCTGGCATCCGCTCTCCACGCCCGCACGGGGGTTAAACGTAAGGGCCACGGAGCGGGGCGCCGGCGCCCTGATCGCCAAGCAGCAGCATGCGCTGCGCCGCACAGCTGGCATTACGCAGAAATGCTCCGCTCCACCCGGCTATTTCGCCGAGCACCCTCCCACAGCGCTTCCGGAAGCACCAATCGTGGCTCCGTCGCTAAGGGTCAGTTAAACTTGGGGAGAAAAATAACCCCAGCCTCAACCCACCTCCCCCAGTCACAAATCAGGAGCCACGCTCCAGAAACCAGGAGACTATTGTAAATAGCATGAGAAGGTAACACAGGCAGGTTCCCTTCCCTCGCCTGCTGGCGTGGGAGCGTTCCGGGCATGCATGTCCCAGCGTTTCTCTGCCGGGGGGATTGTGTGCCGCGCTGGCAGCGCAGCGAGACGGGGGTGGGTTTCGGCTCATCTGATGTGGGGGCAGAAGAGAGAAACGGCTCGGGCGGGCCGGGTGAGCCCTGAGCGTGGCGAAGGCGCTGCTCACCTTTTGGCATCGTTTACTCAGTGGCTGGTTCTTCCACAGGCACTGGCTAGGGGCTGGCGTCAGCAATGGGCGGGCTCGCTCCCTGGCCCCTCTCCCGGCTGGGATGCAGCTCCTCCCTGGGAAGAGGCAGAGGGGCTTTGTGAGAAAGGAAGCTACTGGCCCGCCAAGAAGCAGCTGGCTGTTGCTATGCTACCCCGACAGGCTGCCGCAGCAACAGACCCCCAAACGTGGGGGCTCCGAAGGGCCCCGGGGTGCCCAGTCGGTCTGTGGCCCATTGATGCTGGGCAAGAAGAGCAGAAGGCAGAGCTGGGGAAGGGGGTGGCACTGGGAGGTGTGGGGGGGCTCTGCATTCGGAAGGGGCAGTGGGGCTGAGTGTGCCAGGCCGGGGGCTGTGGAGAAGCCAGAAAGGGGAGGGAGGGCGAGAGCAGCCAGGGCTCCTGGGCCAGGGGGAGCCGAGGGAGAGCAGGAGGCTGCCCATGTGCCAAAGGGAAGATGGGGGCAGAGGCTGAAGACAGGGGTTGGTTCTGGAGCTGGAACAGAAGGAGCTATTAAAAGAAGTGGGCTAGGGAGTCAGGGCTTTCTTCCCCCTGCCCATCCCCCCCAGCCGGGCTTCTCCCATTTCCCTCCCCACAAGCTCTGCCCCACGCCTTGCCCCCCAGCTCCAGCCCTCCTTCTTTCACAGACCTCCAAGGACAAGCCCTGGGAATCGGGACTCCCTGCTAGCCCCCGATCCATTCCTTCCACCCCGCAAGAGGGGGTCAGACCCAGCTGGGAGTGAGGGGGGGTGCAAAGGGGCTAGCTGCAGCTCCCCCTTCCTGGCTGGGTTCTGATCTGTGGAGCAGGTTAGAGCAGCCTTACAACTCGGGTGCTCCCGCCACACTCCCTGTGCCCGGGCATCTGCCTCTGCAGATCTCCTGGCTCCCCCCACCCCGCCACGCTGCCACAGGGCACAGTCTGTGCGGCAGGCGAGGGAGGCCGGAGGGCCACAGTGAGAACAGCCTGCAGGGAGACGCAGTGGGGCCGGGAAACTCCCTGGTGTCAAGGGAAGCTCTCCAGAGTAGCTGTGGCTCAGGGTGACGTGAGCAGCAATGGGACCATAAAGGAGGATGTGGCCGGTAGCACCACAGGTCCACGTGGCCTGTTGCAGGAGCAGAGCGGCAGAAATGCTCCCATTCTTTGACGCAGTGGGTGTGCTTTTCAAAACGGCCCAGGCAGACACAAACCAGTGGCAGAAAGAAATTCTGAGGGGCCACAGCCTCTCTTGGTGGGCCCGTTCGACCAATACTCCAGGGGCAAAGGAGGGGAGGCCACAGGATAGCCTCTGGGCCCCGGCCACCCATTCACACTTGGATCTTACGAAAACCCAGTCCTTGGCTGTGCTCAGCACCATCTGGAGCAACTCCTCTGCCCTCGGCGTCATGGCTTTGAGAACATGAACTGTACCAGGAGAACCCCTCGCTGAATGATCTGTCTCGCCACAGGCATCACCGCATTGAGATCCTCAGACGCTCCGGTGATAGATCCAGACCGCACGTGCCCAAACGCTGGGCCCTCGTCCCGCACGTATTCAGGCGTGTGAATTGTTGAACACCCAGGACTAGCCCCAATGACCTCAGAGGGACGATGGTCCTGTACACGAATTACTGACGTGCCGAAGGGTTTGCAGGATCACGACCTATTCAAGCTGTTTTCTTGAACCTCTACAACCGTCTTGCGTACATTGAGAAAATAAAACCCTTTCTGTGGTGGGCGTTGTTTCGGCTCCTTCTAATCTGTAGAAAGTATTACCTTACCACCGCCTGCAATATCCTCCAGACAATGCCAGGTGGCATGGAAGCTGAATGGAACAGAGCATTGGCTGCTTATAAAACCCTAAGAATAATCTTTAAACCCAGACCTGTCGGTTTCACCCTGCCTCAGGCCCCGGGGAGGAGCAGAAAATGTGTGACACCGAGAAAGTATCATTTCTCACATATTAATGCTTTCACATCCTCCATGAGGCTCAGAAGATACCGGCTTTCTTCAGCCTCCACTCAGACACGCACCTTCAGAGCTCTACCAGAGGAGCCCACTGCAGAAAGACAGACTCTTGTGACCCGTCACCAAGCCAGAACAAAGCAGACTCCGGCGTAGCAGGCAGGTCCCTGGCTGGCAGGCTGCTTGGGGGATCACCGAAGCCTCCCTGCGTCTGCTACCTTCCCCGCGAAGGAAAATAAAAAGAGCCCCAGACATCAGCAAGGGCAGGAACTCCCCAGGGGGAAACGCCAGGGAACTTACCAGGTGTTCGGCTCGCAGGAGAGCTGCCTCGCCACTGGCTGCCCGGAACGCTCCTGCCTGTGCAGTGATCCATCACTTCCTCATTTCTGCAGTCGTTCCGGTGAGGAGCCGCACAGCAGCGCCACAGGCTGAGTCACTAGCCAATCCCAAAACAAGTCCCAGCACTGAAAGTGAAACTGGGGGAAAACTTAGTAATAGATATGTAGCCGTGTTAGTCTGGTCTAGTGTGAGTGAGTCTCCTTCCTCCAGAGAGACTTTGAGACAGTTCGCTGGGAGACAGGCCTGCCACCAGCATGGGTCCCATGACACAGGCAGAGATTTTGGCATAGGCAGAGGGAACTCATCTTCCTGCCAAAGACAGGGACATGGACACTTCCAGGGAAGCCCTTAGAAAGGGACTTCCCAGCAGCAGCAGGAGGCTGCTTATGAATCAGCACTCAGATTTCCTTCCAGAAATCAGCATTTCTTAAGGGAGTAATAGCAGCTGTTAATCATAGTACGTCTCCCCCTCCTTTCCCTCCCACCACACATTCACTCTCCCTGCTGGGGCCCTCCACCTCAAACAGCTGCCCGGCCCTGTACCTAGGGACCAGCATTGCTAGCCAATAATCTGGCTCTCCAGGGAGGAAAGTCATCGCTCTTTTAAAGGCACTTCTGTTTTGCAGCTTTTTGAGTATGTGGCTTCAGAAAGGGGAGGGGAGAGGCCAGGAAAAGAACCAGAGACAGCTGCGTCGTGCTCTGCCCAGAGAATCATGGGAACATCGAAGGGAAGCTTGGATCACCAGAAGCCAGAGGTGATTTAGGGCCTGGGTATGACTAGGGATGGTTCAAAGCAATCTGGGGCCTTAGGTTCCTCTGACTATGGGATGCCCCATAGCTCCGCTCCTCCAGCCCAGACTTTATACTGTGGTCTGACACCTCCTTTGGCGCACTGGCGGAAGGAGGCCTCCTTCCCCCAAGAGAAAGGCCCTCTGTTTATTCCGGTCTCCAGGGCATAGCTGCTGGGGTGCCGTTTGCTCACTTTCTCTCCAGTGCCAGAATTCTGTGTCGGGTTGGCACGGAGAGTGGAGCTGCCCAGAGCAGCAGGCCTCAGAGTTAACACCCCATTGTGGTGAATGGGGCAGCCTCATCCCCCAGCACTATGGTTTCAAGCTCACTGCAGCCATGGGTGGATGCTACAGCAGTGTTTTCCCACTGACTTTCCCAACCATAAGAGGCAGACCCTGTTAAACCATGAAACCGAGCGTGATGTATTCATGTCCCTGGGTGAGCTGGAGCCTCAGTTATGACCCTATAGTGCTTATGTCTTCATCTGGCCCTGATCTCAACCTCATAGTGAAGGATGAGTTGAGTTGTGCGACTAAAGCAGGGATTCAGCCTCTTAGCTAGGTAGGGGGAATACAACGTATCCGCCCCCAAATCCAGGCATTCACCAAACTGCTGCTGAGCCAGTCGGGCCCCAGCCTGTAACAATGCTTGGGATTCTTTCGTCCCAAGTGCAGGACTCTACACTTGTCCTTGTTGAACCTCCTCAGATTTATTTTGGCCCAATCCCTAGGGGGATGGTTTTCTATCAGTAGAGCTGGTCCTATGGGCGGGCGAGCCAGGAGGTCACCTGGGGCCACCATTTTCAAGGGACCGCTGACAGAGCTGGTCTTAGGGGTGGGCCGTGACTGTATTTCAGCCCGACCTCCCAAATCTTCCCCCCAGGTTTCCCTGGTTACTCCCTGACCCCCCCTTTTTTTTCCTCAACAAATTTTTTGGCTCTCCAGCAGTCATATCCTCCAGTGCCCCACAGCCTGAAATGCTAAAGCCATCAACAGCAACGCCTCCTCCCCTGCCTTTTCCCCTCCAGCCCACAAAAAGCCTTGCCAGATCTGGCAGACAAAGGTACAGAGCAAGCAAGAGCCCTGTCGCGCAGCAAGCTCCAGGTGAAGAAGTGTGCCGCCAAAAGGGAATGTGGGATAGACGCTGCAATTTCTGCTTTGCTATGAGGCAGGAAGTGAAAGGGAGGACACTTGTGCCAAGGAACAAATTCATAATGTGTTGTTTCATTGCATCCCAGGGCCTCCCAACCCAATGGAGAACAAGCCGCCCCCGCAGAGCTCCCTGATGGTGACCCTCAGCTGCTGCACCTTTGCAGCAAGTGGCAAAGAAGCCAGCAGAACCTGGTGCCGGAAATGCAAAGGGACTTTGCCAGGAGGTCGGTCAGGCTTTATGAATTGGAGCTGACAAACCAGGTAGTGGCCGAGAAGATGCTGAAGAGGGAGGAGACGTTGGCAAATGGGCTACCGGGAGACGAAGGGGAGAGACTAGGGAAAGCAGGAAAGAGACAGGGAACAATCCAGGGGACTGTTTGAGAAACTCTTCTAGACATGAGCCCCAAAATCTCAGGATGTGCCTGCTCTAAACTCAACCCAGTTAGGGCCACTCTGGTCCTTGGCTACCATGCTACTTACTTGCAATGCAGCTGATGGAGTGCTCGGCATGGGGGTTAAGTCAGCCCACGCGTAGTGGAGATGCGCACAGTCAGCAGCATCATGTGCACTCCAGCTCCAGGCCAGCCTGGGATAATGCTGACTCCGCACCGTTCCACTACCCAGGGCACTGCACTTCCATGCCATCTCTTTTCTGCGGGTTTAATTTCCAGCTTTGGGTCTCAGTTCTGTTGGGTTTTGGTGGTTTTGTTTTGGGGTACTCTTGCTTTGGATTTGCTCCTACTGTGCCTTTCGGAAGTTACATTTTAAGTTTTTGGTGAGCTGGACTGACTGTGACATAAACCTTTAAGAAATCAGGCTGGACAACATTCCTCTGGAGCCTGCATTCCAAAAAATAACACGTGCAACATTCACATAGAAAGGAACGCACTTGTCTCAGATTGAAAATTCATGCAAATGGCACCAAGCCAGCCAAGGCAGGAATTACGATTCTCCTCCTACTCCCTCCTGTCATATTAACATCAAATATACACGTACAAAGAAGTAATGTTGTGATCATATCACAACATTTCTATGCCAAATCAAGGATGTAAAACAGCCTTATTGCTCTGGACTCAGCCCTAGTTTCCAGATGTACATCGCCTGCTTGCCTTTGGTCCACTGAAATCACATCCCACCACCCGCCGATAATTTATTCCTCTCCGGAATAATTTAGAATTGTGCCTTTAATATTGTTTTGAGAAACTGACAGGCATCCTGAACTACCATTTTCCTTAAATTTTCTTCCCATAGGTCAATCAGGAGCTCTTTAATGACATGAAAATCAAAACTGAATCCTACAAGAAGTGGAAACATTGGCAAATTGATAAGGAGGAGTACAAAAGAATAGCACAACTATGTAGGAACAAAATCACAGAGGCTTAGGTACATAATAAGTTATACCTAGCAAGCAACATAAAAGACAATAAGAAGTTTTTTAAAACATTCAGAGCAAGAGAAAGTGAAGAAAAGTGTAGGTCCCCTTAGGGATGTAAGTGACTAGTTGACTACCCAATAAGCAAAAGCTTATCGGATAGTCAACTAGTTCCTCGACTAATCGCTTCCCCCCCTTGCTGCCTCTAAGGGTGTGTCTAGACTACAGGGTTTTGTAGACAAAAGTGGACTTTTGTCGACAAAACTATACCTGCGTCCACACTACCGCTGAGTTCTGTCGACAGAACTCAGCAGTTTTGTCGACGCTGGTAAACCTCATTTTACGAGGCATAACGCCTTCTGTCGACAGAGTTTCTGTCGACAGAAGGTGTTATTGCATGTAAACTGTCCTTTGCGTCCACACTACCATGTCGACAAAGCAGCTTGCTTTGTCGACAGAACTCAATGTAGTCTAGACGCTCTTTGTCGACAGAAGTTTTGTCGACAGTATCTGTCGACAAAACTTCTGTCGACAGAAGCCTGTAGTCTAGACGTATCCTAACAGAAGCAGCAAGAAAAGGAGAAGGAGCCGGTGCTAGGGAGTGGGGGGGGAGGGAGCTGGCTTAAAAGCCAGTTCTCCCCAGCACCATCTCCACAGGGCACTGGGAAGTAGCAGGGACTGGGCGCGAGCCAGAAATCAGCTGATTCCTAACTTGCACCCAGTCCCAGATGCTGCAACTCTGTTTTTTAAATGTATTGAGATCCTGCCAGCTCTTAATAGATTTAAAAATCAGAAACGCCGCGGGGGGGACAGGGACGAGGAGGTTTCCTGTGGGAGCCGGGCCAGCTGATTCCCAGCTCACACCAGTCCCCCCTACTGGCTCTTAGGCTACGTCTAGATTGCATCCCTTTTTCGTAAAAGGGATGCAAATTAGACATTTAAATCTCCCCCACTTCATTAGCATAAAAATGTCTGCCGTTTTTTTTTCGGCATGGAGCTTTGCCGGAAAAAAGCGCCAGTCTAGACATGGATCTTTCGGAAAATAAAGCCTTTTCCGAAAGATCCCTTATCCCTCTTAAAATATCTAGCGGCATGCCCCAAGGATCGGTTCTGGGACTGGTTTTGTTCAACATCTTTATTAATGACCTGGATGAGGGGGATGGATTGCACCCTCAGCAAGTTTGCAGATGACACTAAGCTAGGGGGAGAGGTAGATACGCTGGAGGGCAGGGATAGGGTTCAGCGTGACCTGGACAGATTAGAGGATTGGGCCAAAAGAAAACTAATGAGGTTCAACAAGGACAAGTGTAGAGTCCTGCACTTGGGATGGAAGAATCCCAAGCATAGTTACAGGCTGGGGACTGAATTGCTAAGTAGTAGTTCTGCAGAAAAGGACCTGGGGGTTACAGTGGATGAGAAGCTGGATATGAGTCAACAGTGTGCCCTTGTAGCCAAGAAGGCTAATGGAATATTAGGGTGCATTAGGAGGAGCACTGCCAGCAGATCCAGAGAAGTGATTATTCCCCTTTATTCAGCTCTGGTGAGGCCACATCTGGAATATTGTGTCCAGCTCTGGGCCACCCACTATAGAAAGGATGTGGACACATTGGAGAGGGTCCAGCGGAGGGCAAACAAAATGATTAGGGGGCTGGAGCACATGACCTATGAGGAGAGGATGAGGGATTTGGGTTTGTTTAGTCTGCAGAAGGGAAGAGTGATAGGAGGGTGGGGAAGCCCTGGAATGGGTTCCCTAGGGAGGGGGTGGAATCTCCATCCCTGGAGGTATTTAAGTCTTGGTTTGACAAAGCCCTGGCTGGGTTGATTTAGTTGGGATTGGTCCTGCCTTGGGCAAGGGGCCGGACTTGATGACTCCTGAGGTCTCTTCCAGCTCTAGGATTCTATGCCATGGCGTGGGTACGGCTCAACAGCCATCTCCCTGAAGCAACAAACTCACTCTCAAGAAGTGGGCCAGTCTGGTGTCTGCCTCCTGGAGGCGGCGGTGGAGCAGTGGCTGTGGCTGGCTCTCTCCCAGGACGGCAAGTCCCATTCTCCAGGTTCCGTTCTGGCCTCCTATCCGGCCACATTCCTCCCCACGT